TAATGACCCCGAGTTTGTGTTGTAGCGGATGATTTGAATCAAAGGCCAGGTACTGGTCAGTGTGAGTGGACTTTCTGAAGACCTCAGTCTCTAATTGTCCGTTCTCCAGTATGATGACCTTACAATCTAGAAAGGCGAGTTCACTCTCCTTAGCATCCTCGCGAGTGAAATTTATAAAAGGGTCCACCGAATTAATGTGTTCTGAAAATGGTTCCACTTCCTGTTTCTTTAACTTGACCCATGTATCGTCTACATATCGAAACCAATGGCTTGGCGCTGTCCCTTGGTAAGAGCCCAGGGCTTGTTCCTACAGTTTCTCCATATACAGATTGGCCACTATAGGAGAGACTGGGGAGCCCATCGCACAGCCATGAATCTGTCTAAAGAAGGTGCCTCTAAATTGGAAATACGTGGTGTTAAGACACATTTCAAGTATTTCACAGATGTGGTCAGCTGTTAGTTTCGTTCTCTCCCCTAGTGTGGCGTCTTTCTGTAGGCTTTCTCTTACAGCCTCCACCGCCTCTGTAATAGGGACCGACGTAAAAAGCGATGTCACATCAAACGAGACCATTGGCTCATCTGTGTCAAACTGGAGGTGTTTTATTTTATTTACAAATTCTTTTGTGTTTTCTATGTGATGGTGGGTGTTACCCACCAAAGGAGCCAGAATGGTTTTGAGGTGTTTAGCCAGGTTGTAGGTGATAGAGTCTATGCTACATACAATAGGCCGAAGTGGAAAGTTTTGTTTGTGTATTTTTGGGAGTCCATAAATACTGGGGATGGTGTCTCCTGGGTAAAGTTTGTAATATAGTGGTTTTTCAATAATGCCCTCTTTCACTAAGCTCTGAAGGAAGTCTATAATCTTTTTCCTAAACCCACTGGAAGGGTCCCTCTTCAATGGCTGGTACGTGTTGGTGTCCAAGAGTAACTGATTAACTTTGGCCTCATAGTCTGAGGTGTTGAGGATAACTGTGCATCTGCCTTTGTCAGCTGGTAAAATAGTTATACTCTCATCCTTTTGTAATGCCAATAATGCTTTTTGCTCATCTAATGAGACATTGGATTGTGGGGGCTTCGCACTTTTGAGTGTTGCAGAGACTCTCAGTCTGAGGGCCCCCGCCTCACTCTCAGTTAGTTTGTTGTTTCTAATGGCTGCTTTTGCTGCTGTGATGTATTCAATTGTAGGCATATCTTTTGGGGTTATTGCAAAGTTTAGGCCTTTAGTAAGAACGTCTTTTTCCGCTTGTGATAAATGCCGATCGGACAGATTTTTTACCCAATTCTCCCTGTCCAAGCCTTGTCCAATTTCACTTTTAGAATGTTGAAAAGAATTATGGTTTTGGAGTTTTAGAAATTTGCCTATCTTACGTTCTTTGGCCTTCTTGTGATGGTTCAGTTGGGCAGTTTCCGTAAACGTCCAAATCCTCTGAAAAAACTCTGGTGAGACTGCCAATTCCAGTTTGTGCTTAAGGCACTCTATCTCGTCCTTTAGGTTTATAATCTCTATGTTAAGTCGTCGAATTCTTAAATTGAGAATCTTCATACAGTAGTTTTGTTGTATTTTTCTTGCCAACTGGCCTGTTTCTAATGCTTTTTGCTTTAAACATTTTGGGATAAGTTTACTCTGGCTACACCTAAGATTAAACCTAAGATGATTTCTGGCGTCTGCTAATTTTCTTTTGATTTTCTCCAACCCGCGTGCCAAGACCAGGGCGTCTCTCCCAAAGTTGACAACGATAAGTTTGTGTAAGCCCTCAGTCGTACAGGGATTAGTCCGCTAGTTTGAGGACGAAACGTCGGGAAAACTTGCTAAGAAGTACAGATGATGGGTGAGAAACCTTCCTTTGCTTTGACTAATCCCTGTACGACTGAGGGCTTACACAAACTTATGCTAGAGGTTGCAAATGGTTTCAATGAGTTCTTTGTAAATATTGGTTCTGAATTGGCACACAACATTCCCAATACAGGAAACGATCCAGTTAGCCATATAAAAAGAAACCTTGGGTCAATGTTTTTCGATCACGTTGAAGAGGCGGAGGTAATAAGAACGGTCTGTGAATGTAAAAATAAGACACCTGGTGACTGTCATGACATTGACATGAAGCTTGTTAAAACTGTTATTGAGGGCATAGTAAAGCCAATCACATTCATCTGTAATTTGTCGTTTCAGTCTGGTACATTCCCTCACCAAATGAAAATTGCTAAAGTGATTCCACTGTTTAAGTCTGGGGACAAGCACAATTTCACAAACTATAGACCGGTCTCATTGCTTCCACAATTTTCAAAAATTATAGAAAAGCTCTTTGTGGTACGCCTGGACAAATTTCTGGACAGAAAACAATATACTTAGTGAAAGCCAATACGGGTTCCGATCACAGAGGTCTACAGTTTTAGCACTGTTGGATTCCGTTGAAGATGTAACAAATTCACTCGATGAGAGACTGCATTCAATAGGAATATTCCTTGACCTTCAAAAGGCATTTGACACAATTAACCATGACATTTTAATTTCCACACTGGAAAGATATGGGATTAGGGGTAAAGTATTGGAATGGGTAAAGAGTTACTTGACAAACAGAAAACAATTTGTAAACATTGGAAACATATGCTCCTCATATCTAAACGTTTCCTGTGGTGTCCCACAGGGGGCAGTGTTAGGTCCTAAATTATTTATTCTATACATAAATGACTTGACTCAGGTGTCAAAAACTCTCAGAATGGTTCTCTTTGCGGATGACACAAGTGTTTTCTGTTCAGGGAGTAATCTCAAGTCACTAGTCCAAGAAATAAATACAGAATTGGATGCACTTAAGTCATGGTTTGATGGAAACAAGTTATCACTAAATTTGGCAAAAACAAAGTTCATACTGTTTGGGAGTGTAACAAATGAAGACGTTGAAATAAAACTGGATGGCAAAACTATTGAAAGAGTAAATGAAATAAAGTTTTTAGGAGTTTTAATAGATGAAAAAATAAACTGGAAAGCTCACATTAGTTACGTGAAGGGAAAAATATCTCGGAGTATATCAGTGATAAATCAGGCAAAACAGTTTGTAAATAAAAAGTCCCTGGTTACACTTTACTCTTCACTAGTTTTGCCATATTTCACTTACTGTCTTGAGGTGTGGGGTAATAATTATCAATCGGCACTTCAACCTCTGGTTGTGTTGCAAAAGAGGGTAGTGCGCATGATACACGGTACAGGTTTTAGGGACCACACCAACTCACTCTTTGCACAATCAAAATTGCTAAACCTATTGGATATTGTTGAATATGCAACAACACAAATTGTATTCAAGGCAAAAAAAGAGTATGTTGCGAAAGAATATCCAAAAACTATTCATAGAACGAGAGAGAGAATATAACTTACGGGGGATGATCAACTTTAGGGTTAAAAGGGTAAAGAGCAAGCGTAAAAGTTTTTGTGTTTCTGTGCGAGGTGTACAAATGTGGAATAAGTTGAGAGTGCAGCTTAAAGAATGTCCAAATTTAGCAATATTTAAAAAAGGCTTTAAGGAAATGACATTTGTAAAATATCAAGAGGAAAATATGTCATAAAAATCTAGTATTGTTATTATTACTGTAGGGGTTGACTCTAAAATACCAGCTTGGGCTTTGGGATAGATGTGTTTTAGGGGCTGATGTTGCAGTGGTGGGTGTAGGTGCTGTCTCTCTGGCTGGGCCTTTGGCGTGGTAGGTGAGTACTATGGTGGGACTTGAGGTGTGGAGGAGACTGGCCGGCCTCACGGTAGCGTTCTTTGACGGTCTGGTGAGAGTGCTTTCTCTCATTCTGAATTGCAATTAAAACAAAAACAAAACTAAAAGCTCCCTTTGTCTAAAGGTAGAGTGAGGCAGTCACACGGGTGATAATCTGCTCTACTTAAAGTCAAGGAGTGAGACTGTTAATCTAATAAATTAAGAAAATCAAAATTGAATAAATGAAAATAAATTGAAAAGGAAATCAATACAATTTATTTTGCGCTCTCTACTAAAGGAGATATTGTGAAAATATGTTGTATTGTGTTGAGGTAAAACAAAACTGTTGATTGTGGCTCATGAAGCTGTTGGAAGGCTGTAGTGAGTGTTGGCCTCTCTCTCTCCTGTGCGGATGGTCTGCTGCTGTGGGTTTGCTTGGTGCGCCTGGGCCTGGGGAGATGGCAGTGTCGAACTTACCGGTGCGCGTTGGCCACTGTGACACATTTGTTTCAAAGAAACATATATAATGTGTGAATGTGTGTATATATATATATGTGTATGTGTATGTATATGTGTATATGTATGTGTGTATATATGTATGTGTGTGTATGTGTATGTATGTATATGTGTATGTGTATGTGTGTATATGTATATATATATATATATATATATATATATATATATATATATATATATATGTGTATTTGTGTGTGTGTGTATGGTTACATATTTATACATGACAAGAACAACTATAATATGTGTGTATGAATATTGTATATGTATGGCTATGTCTGTATGTATGTGTGGGCGGGTAGGTGCAACCGTATAAAGTGAATATAGGTATAGGGGGTGGGAGCCTATAAGTTTGACTTCTTCCCACTCCTTTTTGAGTTTTAACAGGAGTGAAAATAAATTAAAAGTGAAAATAAATAAAAATAATAAAAATAAAAATGTATATATACATTAATGTATGTATGTATGTAAATTTCTATCATGTATTGTATGTAATTGCTTTTAAATCTATAAATTGATTCCTGTTTATAAGCTTGAAATAAAATCAATCAATCAATCAATCAAAAGATATGATTCTATATGACAGTGTGTTGAATCATTCATTAAGATACAAGACCATAACACAGCCCATTATTTAAATCCTCATGATTCAAATTGACTTTTTACATTTCAAATCATTAATGCTATCAAATTTGTGGTGAGTTGATTGTGTCCTTTGGGGGACCTGGACTGAAAGGTTTCGGAACCCCTGCTCTGTCTTTTCTGTAAACAGGTTCCAACGGGCTGTTGCCATGGCTACGCCTCCGCGAGTGGGCGTATTCCGAAAGTCCATGATGATCAACCCTCGCATCATTGAGGTGAGACATCAGATAAAATGTTGTTCACATATTGTCTTGTATTGGATCATTCTGTGAACCTTCTCATGTCACTCATGATGGTTTATGTTTGTGTTATTGTGTTGTGTTTTATGTTTGTCTTATTTGTATTTTCAATGTAGCAGCCTGTGAGTCCAAGACAAATTTCCAATGGGACATAATAAATTAATCTTGAATCTTGAGGTGTTTTCCATAGTAACTACAAAGTAAACAAGGGCCAAAGCTATTAACTATATTATTTATTTATAGTTTAATGATTATGAAGAAACATTTTTATGGTTACGATGCATGTCTCATTTGACAAAGCAATACATTAGGAAATGTACCCTTAAAGCTGGTGTACCTAACATTTGAAAATGATGAATGACTCTTTGATCCCAACAGAAAGGGTCCAGAAAGTTAAATGTTGCAAGAAAGTCAGACCACAGCATGCTATCCTCTAACTAGTTTGGAAAACATTGTATACTTGTAAAACAGAACCTGAGTCACTATTTGACACTTTGGGCTGAGAGCATAGTGAGGTTGGCCCTCTTTCACTTCTCTGTCTCAAAAAGCAGCTCTAAAGATGTGACTGACTGAACCCAAATGAGAGAACTGTATTGATAGAACTGTAAAAGTTAAACAGGTATGAGTCAATATGAATGTTTTAAGTGTGAGAAGTGTTAAGAAATGTGTGTCCCATTTGACGAAGCAATAACTATGTTACTGCCACTGCACAAATATCTACTTTCTCTCATGGTCATGTGTCCTCCCCTTCCCCGTCTCCTTGTTTCCCGGGTTACAGGCTCCTTTAGGAAAGCCCAGGCTCAGAGGATTCTCCATCCCAGGACCAGACTTCACTTATGGAGTTGCAGGAGAGATCCATGAAGGAGTTTCCCAGGGTAAGACCAACTTTCAGTCATCCCAGAAAATTATTTAAAAAATGTATGCTTCACCTTCATGTATGTGTTTATGTTATTTGGCCTTTGTAACATCTTTAGATCAGCCTTTTCAGACACAAAAGTGAAAAAAGAGGACCACACTCATTTGGCCAATCAGCTCTAAAGCCCACCAGAACGAGATCACAAAATTCTAAAGACAGAATTTTGCAATCTCGTTCACATCTTACTTTTTCTGTTGCGACAAACAAAACGTACTATTTCTAAAAACATAATGTTAATACAAACATGGCCACAGAGCACACCACAGACTGTTTGCTTCATTTCTTCCAGTGCTGTCAGGGTGGAGGCAACAAGAACCACCTGGCCTGGCAACGCGGGACTCGTGTCCGCTGGACTTTGTGGCTCTGAACCGTAACGCGGTGAAATCTGGTGTCACCACGGCCAAAGAGCTGCACCGCTACCGAGCCCTGAGGCCGCCCTCCGCGTCCCAGCCAATCAGGAGGAAGCAGCAGAAGAGCCAGCCAAAAAGCCAGCCGAAGAGCCAGCCGAGTACGGACAACACCTACGGGGTCAAGAGCAGGTCAGAGAAAGACAGAAGACAATCAGTCCTGTGAGGATACAGACAGGTTGCGGTCGATTCTGACTTATTCAAAGATAGGGCAGCGCTAAAATATGTATTTAGATTTGAGACAAATATTGATATTTTTAAAGTAGATACAATATTGTCTCTTTAATGTTGTGATAATTTTTTTTTTATGTATTTGCATCATATCTATGTATTTATTTATTGACATTTGATGACATTTCAGGTGGTTATGTATTGTTAGTCAAATCCAGCAGGACCACAAAATCAGGAGCACAAAGCCTTTATTTTTACCAAATTGTAAAATCACTTGGAAATATATTATGTTGCATCACACTCAAAGACCTGGTGTGTGATGCAATAAGATTATAATTGACTTCTAGGGCAGAACCACTATTGGATGTTATACTAGTTTTACAGAGTAGTGACAAAAAGTTGAAGAAAATGTTTTAAAATTCACAGGAAGTAAAGCTGATGTCCAAAATGGAATCCCTCCAGCTGCCATGTAATCAAATTCACTGACAATTATTGCACAAGACACTCAGTTCTCTGAGAGTTTAAACGTTCATTCAAATTTCAAGTGAGAAATTCTCAGGCCGATTCCACAAATGACCTAAGTATTTATTTCTTAATTAGCATCATACGTTCATGATAAATGTGCATATGAATAATGAGGAAACACTAAACAGACTGACCTTGAAATGTGGGGCAGAACAGCAGAAACAGCACTATGTGGAAATAATAAATAGAAGACAAAAAAAGTAAAATAAAATGAATGCCAGGTTAAGAATGTGCACATCAGTAGTTGCACTCACGGAGCAGAGCTGTGGCTTCCATCACTGCTGGCTCCTGTGCCTGTGGTTCAGGGGCATCTGTTCTTCACCTCTGCTCTTCCTGTCACATTTAGATAAAACCACAAACACTCGCTCAGCTTTTAGTTACACTATTAATGCACCAGCAGGAGGCAACTTCCTACGACTAAATTCAAATAAAACTGACCCACCTTCCAGCTTTGCTCCTTTGAACTTGATTTTATCATAGCCTTAGAACAAAATTTGTGCTTTATCTAGTTGGATAAACAGACTCCTTTCTTTCATTGATGTTGAAATACTTGCACATGCAGTAAATAAGATTAATGTGATGTCCTCTTCTCGAGTCTAAGTCCAGTGTTTGCAACTTCTCCCATATTCTCGGCTCACTGTCTGACACAAAACTCTCCTTGGTCAGTTACCTCTTTCCTGCCCTTATGTGATAAAAGCTTACTGAAAACATTAACTGAATAAACACGTTCTGTTTCAGTGGTTAAAAACATTCTTCCTGAGCTGCAGCTGCCGTGGTGGGGCCCAGCTGGAGTCACTGATGTTATAGTCCTGGAATGGACACGAGGCAATAGTAGGAAATACGTCCTATTCTACAGAGACGAGCTGTGGCCAAACAAACAAGAGCCGTTTTTCTATAACCGAGTGGAGCCTAAAGATCCACATTTTAAGTCTGGAGACCTGAGCGTGATCCTGAAGAACGTCACTGAAGACGACAGTGGGACGTACACGTGTGAGGCTCGGGTTAATACTACAGAAGGAAAGAAGACAGTTAAAAACACTGTGGAAATCTCTGTGACTTCAGGTTAGCACATATCAACACCACATTTACAGAGGCCTCATATGGTTGATTTAGGAATGAGCTCGACTGTTGTACTTGACTGTGTATTCTCCCTGTGAAGGTTCGGTCTCTCCGAATCAGTCTGCAGAGGATGTGCAGCTGGAGTGTCTGTCACCAGAGGGCGACACAGTTCAGGATCTAATGTGGGCCAAAGTGAAAGGGAATCAGACAGCCATCCTCATCAGGTGATAACTACACACTCAGTATTAAATGGAGTATTACAGTAATTAGTTACAGAATAACAATAGTTACAAAAGTAATTATATATTTATTTTTAAAGTAACTTGTGTAGCTCATAGCAAACGTGGTAATGTATTACTAAGATAAGATAGATAAGATAAGCTTTATTAATCTGACAATGGAGAAATGTACATGTCACATCTGGCATAGATAGAGTCACTCAGATTGTGCAAAAAGACAGGAAGTGTGCAACATGTTGTGGTTAAAAAATATAGTTTGTGCAGGATATGATTATGTACAATAGAATGTGGCAATAGCAGTGCTGGTATTTCAGTCCAAGTGCAGGTTATTAGTGACTTAAAATGACTTATTGTACAGTCTGACAGTGGTGGGGATGAAGGCCTTGCGGTAGCTCTCCTTCTTGCTTTCAATCATCGTTACTCTTGTTACTTCCGCTTTATCTGTTGCCGGGTCCCGGGGATAGAAGTCTAAGCAGAGAGGGACAGACTTCCTGATGCACACACACTTCTTCCAGCTCATCCGGGGAATCTTAGGGTTCACAATTAATTTGTTGAAGAAATCAAGATAATTATTCAAATGCATCTAGTGAGGCTTTCCACCTCCTGAAACAGTATTTGACACAACATTTATCTAGCTCATTTCATAGACCAAGGTCACCCAAAGCACTTAGCAATGTTTTTGGAGAGCCAATATTTTCCATTCATTCCAAACATGGTGGACAGAAGCGAGACACTGACCATCAGTCACCAGTAAGTAATCTTTATTTATCTATTGCCTTTCACAGACCAGAATAACAAAGTACTTTACAATTGTGGACATTTGTCTCTCACTGGAGCACCCGGAGGAAACCTACACAGACACAAGAAAACATACAAACTCAACCCAGAAAGGCCTGTTCCAACTGGGATTTGAACCCAGGACCTGCTTGCTAAGATGTGAGTGTGTTATCCACTCAGCTACCGTGCCACCCAGAAGGGAAATGGAATCAAATTGAGGAGCTTCTTGTTGTGATGCATAAGCGCTAACTGCTGCACCACCGTACCACATTCACAATTTGGATTGCAAGAGCTTTGCCCTCTCGACTTGATGACAAGACTAACAGTTATACAGTAAATAAGAGAGTAACCTATCAGAGTTCTGATTTTCAAAGACCCAAATGTATAGTATTGAACATATAACCTGTGTCCCTCAGGATGAAAGATGGCAGAGTGGACTACATAGATCAAGACCCTTCTTTCACAAACCGAGTGAAACTGCAAGGTCCAAGGCTCCTGAATATGACCTTAGGGAATGTGACGACTAAAGACAGCGGGACATACGTCTGTGAGACTCGATCTAAGAACTCAGCTGGAATCCACAAGATCCACGTGCACTTCGTTCATCTCACAGTAGAACAAGGTGAGACAAATTACAGTTCAATAGTCCAAAGGAAAAGGGTGGCTTTCTGATAAGTGCTCATTGTCAAGGTGCGGGGAAGGAATTTTACATAGTAAATTGAGAAAAAGAAAAGGGAAAGAAGTAACTATTAATATTAATGTAGCTCTGTCGATTGTAAAAATGATGTTATTAATTTGTTGTTTTTATGTTGTGTTTTCTCTTGCAGATATGACAGTAATTCTCATTTGTTGTTTAGCGGTACTGGTAGGGTTAGTTATTGTTATTGCAACCCTTGTTTATAAGTGTAAGGAAAAAAGCAAGAAATCCCAAATGGACTCCCCTCATCAATACAGGAGGGGAGTCCCTTTTAAAATGACAGTGACATGATAGGAGCACTCTGAGCTGTAGGTGGCGCTGTCTGACAGAGTGCACATGCAAGGGCACCTGCACAGGTCCTGCACTGTTGACATCTTCATGGTGTGTGTTTTATGAAATGAAATGAAATGTTTTTATTTCGAGTTCAATATACAGTACATAACTGAGATTTACAATACACATTTATTTTAAACAATGTTTTAGAATTGTTATAATGAAGAATTAGTAATTTTTTAATCATGGCGGTTCAGAGGGGGTCACTGAGCTGCAGAAGGAAACTGTTCAGAAAATGTTGTTTGTTTCTTTTAATGAATTGTGATGAAATTGTGTTTGAATCCATTTCATGTGAACTAAAATAGAAGTTTGCCAAGAGGAAACCTGAGCCTTGTTTGAAGTAAAGGCTATTGGTGTACTATTTACATGTAAACAGGAAGGGTACTTTACACATTTATACGGAGGGTGTTGTGCAATCGTTCCTTCGTTTCTGTTGGTTCCTCTGTCCCTGTACATATGTTTGACTGTTTACATGTTAGTACGAAGAGCCTTTTCATCCTGTTTGGTTCCGTGGCTGCTTGTGGGTGTGAAAGATCAACTTCGGTCTATTATTGTTTGCTTTTGTCCAAATGAACTGCTGTAGAGCCAGGTTTGAACAGAAACATACTAAGATATCCTTTGTTCAGTCTGCGTTGAACATGTGCACTATTGTTAGTTAGTTAGACCTTGTTTTTGTTTTATCTTTTCGATTCATTCTTCCTCTGTTTTGTAAATGAAGTTCACCTAAAAATCTGTCCATACTTGATGTAACCCTTAAGTGTAACGTGTGCAATAAAAACGTATTACAGAAGTTTGAGGCCATCCTCATGTTTCAAAGTCATAGTTTAGTCTTAGTTCAAGTCGTCTGGTTTTGTTCTGGCTCTTTAAACCAGTTGAGGGAAATATTCTATTATAATTTTAATTCAATTGTGATTGTTTGGTCTGGTTTATTCTTTGTTAAGTCATCTTCATTTACTATTCACTAAATAAAATATTGTGAGCCTGATTTGAGAAGATGGCATGATTTTATATAGAGTGAAAACAGAATGACAAGCTAAAGTATTTTGTAAGCTTGTTTTTGCTTACAGCTGACATTTAATCTTTGGTCTGAACTCGAGTGGCTTTAGAAGGAGTGGCTCTGGCTCCAACCATTTGACTCCAACCATGTCTCAACACGCCAGTGCGATGGTGTTTCATTTTCTTTTGTGTAGATAATACCCTGTTATTACACAGCCTTTTAATATGTGCCCTGTCATACAGGTTTGTTTAGAATATTTTTTTTACATGTGACTTCTTTTCTGTAGACCGAAACTCAGAAAACATTTACATAATGGCAAAAACAGGACATGTAAAATGTTATTTATTTATTTTTTTCTACGTTTTTACAATAATTTGTCCATATGATGGGCTTTCCTCTCCTGGGGCCACTTCCTGCTGGATCCTTAAGGGGCGGGTGGATAGAGACCATGAGGGCAGATAGGGCCTTGATGATCTTCGGCCTCAGGACCCTGGTGTAGCTGAGGAGCCGAGTTCAGTCCTTAAGACCATAAGACCAAATGACAAAAGGGACTAAGGATTGATCAATATGTTTTTTCTTTTTTGCATATTGGCTGATAAATTAGCTGATTTATGGAGTTCGCTTTCAGAACTTGTTCTTGAACTATCTGAAAGCTATACCAGTGAATGTATCAGTTTTAGAAGGTTTATGACCAGAGTTGATTGTGCTGGGAACTGGTCTCATATGATCGCAGATTATTTTTTTTTTCTAAAGCCGAGATAGAGTACAGCGGAGTTTTGAGCTCTGGGAGTCCACTCCGCTCATGAGAACAAGGATGTAACATTATCACAGCATTTTAGAGCAGGAAATAGGGAACAACAGCCCGTGTCTTGGTTAAACAGAACTCAAAAGCTGGACACAGATTGGCGTTGGAAAGATTTATTTACATAGATACTGTAGATAAATACTTTATTGATCCCGAAGGAAATTGTGCATTAGTCATTTTCTCACATTCGCACAAACACAGCAAGATAAAGTTAAAGAAAAAACATTATTAAAATTGACAATCATTTGAGCAGGTAAGTAAAGTGGCTTCAAGGCCGTGTTAAAAACGGAATGGGCAGAGGCAGGTGGACGGAGACAGACGGACCTGAACACTGGAGGTGAGGTAAGTAACAGTAATTCAATCTGGAGAGACGACAAGATGAGATAAGTAGCATTTAAAAGATTAATTGATTGCGAGTTTTGTTTGTTGTTTTTTAGTTTTGTGCACAGGCCTTGCTCTGTGAGGATCTGTGCTTGAGTGTAGATGATGATCCCGGGGCCTGGAGACTGGTGTTGGCTAAAGGGCAAGGTGGATGTTAGTTAGTTAGTTTATTATTTCTTCGGCCAATATGTACACCCGACCTCGGGTCACACGGATACAGAGATCACATTTACTTTTTACAACAAGGTGATAAAAGCATCTGCCATTATATTATTATGACCCTTGATGTGCCCACCTGGCTGGCATCAGCCTGGAGCACGAAAGGCCTGTTAAATCAAGGAGCTGACAAAACAGGGTGAGAACAAAGCAGTGCTTTAACATTCTCAAAGGCTTGCTGACAGTCAGAGGACCATAAAAAACTTTGCTCTGGCTCTCAGCAACTCTGTCAGAGGGAACACAACAGTAGAGAAATGTTTACAGAAGCTCCTATAATATCCCACTAACCCCAGGAAACGTTGAAGCTCTTTCTTAGTGGCTGGCGGGGGAAAGTCAGCGACAGCTAAAATCTCAGCGTGCACAGGCGCTACTTTACCCTGCCTCACCACACGTCCGAGGTATGTCACCGTAGCTCTGGCAAACTTGCATTTCGCTAAGTTCACGGTGAGATGTGCGTCTGCCAGTCGCTCAAACAAAGATTGTATGCACCGAAGATGAGAGTGCCAAGTGTCACTATACACGACCAAATCGTCCAGGTACACAGAGCACCCCTCCAAGCCAGCAACAACTCTATTCATAAGCCGCTGAAACGTGGCCGGAGCGTTCTTTAGACCAAAGGGCATAACAGTGTAGGAGTAAAGGCCAGAAGGTGTTACAAAGGCCGCAATTTCCTGTGCACGTTTGGACAATGGCACCTGTCAGTAGCCTTTTAATAGATCGAACTTAGACACAAATTTGGCTGAACCTACGCGGTCATTACAGTCATCCATTCTGGGCAACGGAAAAGAGTCAGATTTTGTCACTGAATTAACCTTACGCATGTCAGTGCAAAAACGAGGCGTTCCATCAGCCTTCGGAACCAGAATGCACGGTGAAGCCCAACTCGAACCAGACGGACCTGCAATATTATTTTTGAGCATGTAATCAATCTCCTTATCCAGGTACTTTTGTTTCTCGGGAGCCACACGGTAAAACCTTTGTTTTATTGGCTGAGCATCACCAACATCAATATCATGCTCCATCCACGTGGTTCGAGATGGGATATCACCAAACAACTGAGGATAACTCTCTATCAATCGGGACATCTCACAACGCTGCATCTCGGACAGATCAGACAGTAATGCGTGCAGTTTGCCCAACGACTCTGAGTTCTTCAAACGGCCACACAACAAGCTGTCATCCGGCTCCGGGACACTATCCTCCGGAGCTAAAACCACAGTATCAACGGCCAGTGCAGTGTGATGTGACGTGAGGGTGTGAAGAAATCCTGAGGTGGAGGTGGGGAGGAGGTGGTTGCGGCTTGAAAAGGCTGTTTGGTGTGTGGTGTCCGGCTTTTAAGCGCTGGCTTTTAAGCGCTGGCTTGATTAGCGCGGCTGCAGGGAGTTGAACTGAAATGCGGCCGAGGAAGGTGTGGGCCCGGTTAGATGACGCAGGCAGTCTACTATCAGAATCAGAATCAGAATAATTTTTATTGCCACGTAAGTAACAGGAAGTCACAGACTACTAATTTGAACTTCCGCTAAAGCTTCAATAATCTCAAAAGTACGGGCATAGTTGAATTAAAAAATATTAAAAAATAGTATAAAAAAAATAGGTATCTCGAGATACTTATTGTTTCGGAGAGGTATCTCGAGATATCTCTCCGAAACAGACCCGTGGAAGTAGCTAATGCTATGTCAACAAACCACGGGCAACAACACACGTCCGTGCGAAGGTTTAGTTAAATGGGCTTGACATAAGGACATAAAAACAGCCACACACAAGTTTTATTCAAGACTAAACTTGTGAAGATATGTGAAGACGATTTTGATGAATGCTTCGCTGCCTTTTTTCCCCGAGCCACGGCCTTAATGCGTGGAACTCATGTTAGCTTGAACCACTCACCTTGGACCCGGAGCCAACACGTAACATGTGTCTATGGTACGTACCTGCATTATGCTTTACTGTTGAGTTATGAACACGACTGTTATGATACAATACAGGCGTTAGATCTGCCACAGACGTTTGTTTGTAGCCTTGTTATCTGCCGTGATTAAACTCAGTTGTCCCGAAAAGCTAAGCTAATGCTAACGCTAGACTATTCAGTCCATTGAGATCGTGTTTGATCAAGAAAAATCATATTCTTACTATCTTTAAGGAGAAACAACCCCACAGATTAAATATTAAAGCTACACAGAGGAAACAAAAGTTTTCATGGAGACAGCAGCTGTAGTATGCTAACCATCGGGCTAACACCTGTTGTATGTATTGATATAAGATAGATAGTATGGGATTAAGCATTATAAATACAAAGACTGGGAATAATGTATATTTATTTGCATTTACTGTATATATTAGACATGTATGAATTTTTACAGAATCGGCTAAGGCTTATTATAAAGCACTTTTCGTACAATAGTCTGGTAAATATACGTATAGTAAAATGATATAAGCACATTATACAGATGCTACTTTTGTCTTTAATAAAAGACATTTGCAGATGACAAAGTCCCACTTTCATAAAGACAGCTTTTAAGTGGTTAGCCATGCTTCTAAGTTGGTTATTTGAGTGAATATTTATATTCTATTATTCTGCTGTGAAGCTTATACCTCTTTAATATTAAATACTGGAAGGTATTTTATTATTACCAGTTTGCTGCAATTTGAAAGCAAGGCCCTATATCAATTAGTAATATTAATTGAATACAAAGGCCCCGTCCCAATACTCGCACTTCTACCCTCGCGCCCCTCATTTGCGCGTTCCCGATAAAGGGTGCGAGTGCGTAGGGTGTCCCAATTCTCCAGGGAGGTCTTTGGCCCCGCCCCCTTTGCGCCCCTGATCCACACTTCGCCGTAGCCTGGATCTATGCGCACTCTGGCGAAGGATATTGCCCATAATTCTTTGCGGTACACACCAAAACGTCGGGAAAATGCATTTAAATATACATTTTGAAATATATATGCAGTATGTGTGTAAATAAGTTTTGCTGTTACTTGGAAAGAAGCATAAACGTCTGATGAAGAATTACGGACATTGTGTTTTAACAATTTAATAACTTTTTAAAGCAAGTGTTTATACAACATTCAATTTAAACTTTACACTTAGTACAATAATCTTAGAATGTATAAAAACTGACCAGATAGTTAGTTACCCACATTTAACTTAAAATTATACAGCTATCTCTAATTAGAAACCACAAATATACATGTATTTTAACGTGTGTGAAGCAATTCAATTTGTTTCCCAAAGGGTCAGACAAAGTTTAGGTCTGAAAATGACCATCTCTTGACGAGTCGATGACGTAACCTGCACTCAGTGTTCACTGTCCCAATTCCGCCTTTTGTGCACACTTGTAACCTGCGCACTCCAACCCTGGTGTGCACTTCGAACAAATGCACACTTCGTAGGAGGGCGTAGGGTGCAGTGTGGGAATTGGGACTGGGCCAAAGTGTGAAAAGAAACTCAAATGTGTGATGTCCATGTTTTAATGTATGATGTTTGTGTTCTTCTTCCGGTTCATTGCTTGGATACAAACAAACCGTCAGCTGTTCAAAGTTTACACGAAGCATGCTCATTTTTTAGGTTTCCCAAAGACCAACTGAAGCTGTGGGAAAAGCTATGCAGTTCTGATAAAACATTTTGTCTGATTTTACAGACGGTTAACTTGAATATGTATTCAGGCTAACTTGTAGCTAATGCTAACCTAGTGCGCGGCACTATTAACAACATTTAACAAATGTTCAAATATAACAGAAAAAGGACAAGCATAATATTAGTATTAAATGAATAGGTAACCCAACTACATCATGTTATTTTTGACAGCACAGCAAAAAGGAAAAAGACCCAATGTGAAGCTGCAGTGAGTGTGAAGTGGAGATGGAGCTGATGAACAGATAGAAAACTGATCATTCATAAACATTGGCTCATAACCAAAGCAGCAAAGATAGCTGTAAGGGACAACATCAATTTATTTGCTATGGGAATAGTGTTTCTACATTTTCTTTCTGATAATAATAGTGGATTAAAAGACAATGAGTTTGAACACGGCCCTGCACCTTTCTCGTCATATAGAAACTTTGGGACATGGCCAGTTCACAGCTAATTCCAACCGCTCACTCAGTTTTTCTGTCGCAGAGACAAAATGTGTCCAAAACAACACAGAAAAATCCATTAAGGAAGAAGAAGTCTCAGATCTCAGCACCATTCAACTGGCACGAGTGGTTTGTTTGTATCCGCCGGTGGAAATATCGCAAAATCTCACACTTCCGCTTTCCAGCCCTATTGCAAGCATGTCAGCGCACGTCATTTTGTCCACTTTTGAGCTGGGACCCGCCCCCACTGGTCTATAGCAGCAGCAGGAGTCATATGGGGTGAGATTTGTGTCATATTGATTCATACACAAATCTCACCCCATACAAGCGTGT